TCCGGTGATATGACTATCAAGCTCTGGAATGCCGCGACGGGCGAGCTGCAACAGACCCTAGAAGGCCATTCAGCTTCGGTTTCGGCCGTGGCCTTTCATACCAGGGAACGCGTAGACACGAGTCCTACTTCCGATCAGGCTGCGTCTCAGACATCGCTAGCAGACCAGTGGGTATATCTGAAAGGCGAGAAGGTCTTGTGGCTCCCTTCTGAGTACTCTCAGTTTTCTTGCTACAGCACGAAAGACGGTGCGCTTGCTCTTGGATATAGAAGCGGTCGGGTGTTTATTATCCAATTACTTGAACTGAATTAGCTTACTAGTTCATTATCACCCAGACACCGCTTTACATTATTTTCTAATTCCTAAATAAAAGGAGGTCCTAGGATAATCAAGGAATTTATACTTCCTTTCCTCCCAGGAATTGAACCACGAGTAGATTCTACTACTTTTTATAGTAGTACTGGATAGTGGATGTGCGTGGCAAATTGACACCAGAACGTGCCTGAGGCTGCGGTACCAACTGCAAGGGTTGGGCGTAGAATATTATGCTTTGGGTTAACCTACAGAGAGGCGAGCTGAGAAACTTCTTACTAGGTCTGACAATCTGTCAAATTTTCACATGATTTTGCAGCGAATGTTCTAGAATTAGAAAGTCCGCGATTTGTGCATGTATTCAGGATGTAAAACTCAACTTGATACACGCGCAAAACAAACGGAAATAACGCACTAGTCCCAAAGATCAGCTAATTCTCGGGAGTGGCGCTGAGAAACTATCCAAGAGTGTAAGTGTAAGTCGTGTAGAAGCCGCACTTGACCACTGCTGTACCACGATCAGGCTTGTCGGACCAAAGAAATGCGACACAATCCTGTCGACCCTGGTTCAATCGGTGAATTGAACAAACTGCGTGGCCGGGAGGCCCTGGGCCCAGGCGGTGAGTTGGCTGACTAAAACTGCATGGAAGCGACTGACATCCCCCATCTTCGGAGCTCCAGATGTTCCGTTCCCTCTCTTTCGATAGCAGTACCTGCCGCTTCAATGCATCTTAAAGCGACAAAATGCTCCAGAAAGTATGATCTTTCTTAAATCGGTCTTCTGTATCCTTTCAAGTCCTCTCTGATCTCCACCTTGAGGTTACATGTAGCCGGCAGTATCCATCTTCACAAAACTTCAGTTTGTGCAGAATATCTTATTCTTGCGGATGATATCGGGCGCTTAACGGACTATAATGACTATCTCAGTTTCCTATCAAACAGACAGACCGATTCAAATTGGTATTGCTGATACCCGGAAATCATGAGTTTTACAATGGGACTTTCACGGCAGGGTTGGAAAAGGCTAGACATCTTGAACGGGAGCCTTCCTTAAATAGACGATTAGCTGTCCTTCATCAGAAACGGTTTGATATCCCGGGTTCTTCTGTTACAATCCTAGGCTGCACACTTTAGTCGAAAGTGCCTTGTGAATTGACGGATGTCGTCCGGTCAAAGATCAAAGATTCTCAGAAATAAAAAAATTTGAAGGCTGTCAGTCGATGACCATAATGCAAGCCATGATTCAGATCTCGCTTGGTTACTGGAAGAGACACATTTGATACATAAGGAAAATGAAAAGGCAGACAATCCGAGTAAAAAGAGGTCTATTTCTGTTGTGACATACCATGCTCCTTTACTCCAGAGGACGTCGAGCCCACAACACGCCCAGACCCCTTGGAGTGTCGCCTTTGGGACTGATACTCTATCATAAGCACCAGATGGAGTGAAAGTCTAGGTTTTCGGGCACACACATCATACCTGATCAAAGAGGGAGGGGTAAGAGTTGTGAGTAACCAACAGGAATATGTGTTGCCTTGGCACAATTCGAAGACGCAGGATAGGTTTGACTTGAGAACGGTTATACGTATGAAGGTCTGCATGTACTTTTCAGTCTCTAGCCTGTAATCATATCAGCTAAGTCTCGCCAATAGCAAGGTCGCCACATACCAGTAGACGTGCCCCGGTAAAAACTCAGTCATCGTCATTGCCACGCCTGCATGCCGGAAATGGCCTCTTGCACTTTGTCTTCGTGCGCCCACAGTATCAACACATTGTTCAAGGAATGCACCGAAATCTTGTTCGGGGCCTTCCTTATAGACTGTCCACTTTCGCCTGATGAAAGCCTTCAGCTCCGCGAAAAATTCCTCGATGGGATTGAGATCAGGCGAATACGGTGGTAGGTATATTAATCGGACCCCTTTCTCAGTGCACATTTGCTCTACTCTCTCAGAGCGATGAAAGGATGCGTTATCCATGATCAGAACAGACCTTGGGCTTGGATACCTCCCACAGTGGTGAAGGAGTTGTTCAATAAATTTTTCAAAAAGAGCGGCATCAGTTGATCCTTTATAAATGTGAGAGATAACAATACCATCCTGAGAATACGCAGGTAGTATCTGGTAACGTTGGCCACGGAGGAATTTGGATCTTTCAACTGGTGTTATGCCAGGAGGCGACCAGCCTGTTCTTCTAATCCCTGACCGTTTATCTCACCCAGACTCATCGACATAAACCAATTGATATGAATGATATTCTAGTAATATATCATGCCGATATTCATCTCGCAATTCCGGGTTTTGCTCTTTTGCCTTTTGTTGGATTATTTTTTTGGACTATTTGATCTTCTTTAGAGCCCTGCTGATGCTATCTGTTGAGACATTAACTTCGAAAATATCCCATAGGAAATCTGCCATTTCATCAAGATACAATCCTTGCTTGTCAAGAAGATGGTCACGTAGAGCTTCTAGCATAGGTGGAGTAATGTTTGACCACCGCCCTACATGATTTGGGGGCGCTCCAGGAGTACCGAACAATCGTAGGTTAGATCGAATATATTTAACAGCCTGCTTGCTACACTCAGCTGCAAAAGCTGTATCGGATATAGACTTGCCGTTCTTTGTCATATCACAGATAAGCTGCTTCTTTGCAGGTGATAGGGGTGGTGCCATTCTTTGTACTGTAGCAAGACTCTCACAACCCCTGATGTTGATGTTGCGAGCAGAAAGAGAGGTCGAATGCGTCGAGGTTCACAATACTGCTGACAGGTAATTTACTGGACCCTTTGTCATAACATCGTCCATTTCAATACATGTAAATATATATGTAAGACGCCAAGACTATATTAACCATATATGCACTAGTTAGTCTTGGCGTTTATCTATTAAACACCAGAGAGTATTTTTGGGGGGCAGGCTCATTTCGCAGATTACTGTAATATGGAAGAACCTATTTCAGCAAGGCAAAAGACTTAGGCTCTATATCTTGATTGTCTATCTAGACTCCAACCAGTCTTCAAATGGCGCTGACAAAAGAGGGCAAACCTCAGTGACCAGAAGAATGCTCCATGCACGAGACGCTGAGATTAATGTGGAACAGGTTTCGGGGCAGCCCTCGGCTTGGCGGGACGTGTACAGAGTAATGTGCTGTCCTGGCTCTCCGTGCCGCCTTGAATCGCAATATTACTGGCAGGACCCAGTCGGGAAAAAGCATTATTGCGAACACACCATTTGAGGAAGCTGGTTAGGGTGGAGCAGGAGGGGGGTCATTGAAAGTCACGATGATGTACCCGACAACATCCGTGAGCAATTATATGCCAAGGAGCAGCAGCGGCTGGAACAACGACAGAAGGTCCCTGGGCATCCTGCAAGTAGGTCTCTATTTCCAATCAATATCCACGTCCTCCCCACGCCACCGCCTCGGTCAACAGCTGTGACCCCACTAGCTGCTCCAGAACCTCCGTCACTAAATTCTTCACTGCCCAGTAGTTCTATCGATATCCCCGGTCCGTTGGAAGTAACAATAAAGAACTAGACTGCATGGCAAATCTCGCGAGTGAATACTGAAAGCTTCAAGGACAACATTATAAAGGCACGTGATATAGCCTTGAACAACTGCCTTGACCCGAAGCAGATTTACTAAGATCAAGACCCTGGCTTTTTCATCAACCAAGGCGTGAAACTGGGGGCTGTGCGCCGATTTGTCACTGAAATCAATGACTGGGTGCAGGAGACGCAAGCGTGATGGTGAGAAGATATAATTTTGAGGACATGCTTTATATTATGACTCTTGTAGCCGGCTACGTATCTAATATCCTAGTGATAGCCATATCTTATAAAACGCCTACTAGTTAATAATGCTGTATATATCTCTCCCCAAGTAGCCTACTGCATCTTAGATCATCTCATGTGGATACTCAATCATCAGCCCTGCATGCTGAAAATGACCCTCTGTACTCTGCTGCTTTGCTCTGACCTTATCAACACACCACTCTAAAAACGCTGTGAACCCCTGCTCAGTATTATCCTTGTATATTTGCCAATTCCGCCAAATAAATGCCTTAAGCTCAGCGAAGAACTCCTCTATGAAGTTTAGATCCAGTGAATAAAATAACAAAAATACCAACTTGACACCTTTTTCAGAGCACATCTGCTTTACTTTATCAGAACAATAAAAGAATACATTATTTATTATAAGTACAAATCTGGGTTCGGGCCACTTCCCGCAATGCTGAAGTAGTTCTTCAATTAAATCCTCAAAGAATAATGCATTGATTAAGTCTCAAAAAACTCTAGCAAGTATAACACCGTCTTGTATGTAGGCAGAGAGTATTTAGTAACACTGATCCCGGTAAAATCTTGATACCTGAACCAGTGTCATACCACTTGAAGACCACCTGCTTTTTCGAAAGCCTATTCTTTTATCACATCCAGACTCATCCACATAAACCAAGTGAAATGAGCAGAATTCCAATATCAAATACATATAATCATCACATAAATCGGTATTTCATTCTCTTGCTTGCTGGCGACATTCCTTTCTAGACCAACCGGACTGGCGAAGTATATCACTGATAGTAGACTTCGGTATACGCACGTGAAATTCGTCCAGCAGAAAGAGTTCCATTTCGTGCAGGTACAAACCTGGCTTTTCTATCAGATGATCGCAGAGGGCTTCTAGCATCGGTGGAGTCAACTTCCACGGGCGTCCGCCTTTTATTGGAGGGGCTTTGAGACTTTGAGAGTGCCAAACAATCGAAGATTAGAGCGGAGTCGGAATATTGCGCGTTTACTGCAATTAGCAGTTTTAGCCATTTGTGATATCATCAATTCACCGCTGACTAGCATATCGTGGATGAGGTCAAGCATCGATTGAGCTAGATTGGGAGCCATTGCATTGCTTGAATTGCAAGTAGTGACCAAGTGCTAGTACGGTGTTGGTAAGATGTGTTGGGCACGTGGATTAGTTATGGGCTACAGGCACGTGGAGCTTAGTCATTAATACATCACATGGTTACGGTATTAATAGTAATTCACCATACAGTTGCGGGTTAAAGATATTCCCGCTTGACATCCAAACATAGTTTGGTGCGGTTTCAAGTCAGGGTTGCTGAACCAATCAAAAAGAGTAAGTGGTGACACCGGTATCTGGACACCCTGTATCTTCGGAGTGGCTAGAGTCTAATCAAACCTTTCTGATCCTCTTTTGCAGCAAATTCAGCTGGATCGCCTTCGATTACATGATCGGCAGTGAATTTATGGCAAGATTATCTCGCAGAATTCCCCATCGTCATTTTCCTATTTGAGGGCTTGGCTACACAAGCATATGAAATAATGCAGATGTGAAACACGCGGGTCCGAAGCGTACTCGGTGGGATCAAAGTAGCAGTCATAGAGTAAAGCCTCCGCGATAGCAGAAGGTATCTTCTGGTAGGACGGAGGACGCTTGATACGTACAGATGCTAATATATAGAAGTATCGCGAGGAGGAATTGCAGGGAGGATAGTATGATTATCAATTGCAGCAACACCTCGCTACATGTAAGCAGCTAGCAAACAATCTCACTAACAAAGAAAGCGATCTTATTCCCGTCACTACTAACTGACTCAGGTCATTCAAGAGTGACTGGAAGCTTAGTCAAGTGCACGAATGCAGAATGAAGGTATGCGCAGGTGTCCCTGTTGAATGAGACAACTCCTGACCATTCCACAGAGCTCCGCGGGGGCGCGGAGAACAGGGGGTCAACAGGAGAAACAAAATAAAAGTCGAGTAACATCTTCACTTTGAACACAAGTGCAGTATCTAAGTGATCATGGTTTCATTCCTTGCTCCGTTTCGGCGCCTTGCGGGCCATGCCGGAGGTGCTGGTAGCTGGCGGCCGGCGCCGAGCCACATGACCGTCTGCCAATTTCTCAGCCATATGGACGGTGATTCTATATACAACACTTCGAAATATACAAAGTGGCTGCGTCGGTGTATTTACAGCTGCCTCTGCCGTTTCACGTCCCTACTTGATCCACACTGAGCACTCACTTGCGATCCATCTGACTTACCCCAGACTTGCACCTCATACTCCGTTATCGACCATGTCAGGGTCGCTCTGTGGTAGGCTATGGATCCGTGATCGCTATATGCCACTTGTTTCGCCACATGCGAGGAGGTCCCAGAAATCAATTCCTCACTTGACGGCAGGTGTCTGCCCACTAGCTTGAAGATACGGTCATTGCGAGCGCGCTTCGCGGGTTGGGGTGACTGAGAGATGATGGATGGCTAGAGCCTACAACAAAGTTGGGGAGAGGGGACCTTCGCAGTACTATGCTATGACCAAACACCTCGTCTGAATACACTCAGCTATTGCCGGTGTAAGTTAGTGCCCGAGATTTCTGGCTTGGTCGTCTTCACGATAAGCTTGTCTTCCAGCCAACGGGCGAACTTCACGCTAGGAATATCCACCGCACGCCAGAAGACATCACCAGCCCAAAGGGAGATAGGAAGGCAGATGAGCCAGCCAATCAAGAAACCCAGGCAGTACTGGAAGTTGGTCTCCTTACCAACGACGGCCCAGATGTTAGGCATGAGAGAGTAGCCCAGCGAGTGGAGAATAGGTCCGTGGACGATGTAGAAGGCAAATGATATCTTGCCCAAGTACTGTGACAGAGGGTGGGTGAAGAGTTTCTGGAGATCCTTGGAGTGGTTGATGCTGAACACAATGAGCACAGCGCCCAGGGTCTGGGGAAACCGATGTGGCTCTGGGTAGGTTCTGGGAGTAATCTCCCAGGTCCAACGGTAGAAGGGAGTCCACTTGTAGCCAGTGTTCGGGGCCGAACCCAAGTACAGACCGAGTACAAAAAGGCCGATCCAAAGATTGCGGGTAGAGAGACGGAAGGGAAGCAGTTGTCTAAGGGCATTCTGCTGCTTGGGAAGGAAGTGACGATGCCCAGTTCTTGGCTTCGACTCGCTCTCATTCGCAGGTCGCTCCCAAGTGCCATTTATGAGATCCGCCTCCGCCATAAGCATGCCAAATAGGAAGAGCACGATATCCCAACGGCCCCAGCGCATACAGAACCAGACTAGGCCGCCGACGAGCGAGATACGGACGGCAGTTGTTAGACGAGAAGTGCCCAGAATGGTGAGGAAGAGCACGATAGAGCTGCGGAACTCAACGGGGATGGTCCACAGATGCGGGTTGTAGTAGTTGTAGTAAAGCGCCCAGTTAAAAGGATCCATCAGATGAACTATTGCCAGGTACCAGTCCCAGTACTGCTTGTAGAAAGACCGCATGATCGGGGGATGCTGTTCGTTCGTGCCGAGGATGGTGTGGCCCTCTACGAGGACTTTATGTGAGTAGTTGTACACGCCCAACCGGACCGCGATAAAAACCAATAAGATGCCAACGATAGATGGGATGTAGAGGCGGAGTGCGCGACGAAAGGTAGATGAGGCTAGGGTAGTGAAGGTCTGTTCCCAAGAGCGACTGCGGATCAACTTCAGTGGCTTGTAGGAGAGCACATAACCGGATATGACGAAGAAGATAGCCACCATGATATGGCCAGAGACCAGCATGTGTATGATAGGGAGCTGCAGCACGCTGAAATTCTCATTGTTAAATCCCCAGCCCACGGCAACCTTCCAGGTATAAGTGAAGAGGAAGTGGAAGTTGAAGACTAGCAGGCAGGCCCAGCCGCGCAGACCATCCAACGCAGCGATCGCATGTTGTCTAGACGGGGGCTGCGACTTGCCGCCAACATGATGTTGCAAGTAACTCGGGGTTATGAAGATGGCGACTTTGGTGAAGAAGTCGTCCAGACGGTCGATGCCGTTATCCATGTGGTGCTTGACATGAGGAGCGAGAGCCGAGGGGTCGGTCAGATCGGACCAACTGGGAGCGGGGAACCGGCGAGAATGATTGGATTCCAGGTCATTCAAAGGAATATTATGGACTGGCGGTGGGGATAGGAGGCCATTGTCGGAGGACGACGACATGGTGGCGCTCAAGAGACGTCCGGTCGGTCGGAGGAAAGGCAGGAGATGCGTCTACCGCGCGGAACGGGAGAGGTTGAACCAGCAACCAGCGATGAATTCGAAAGGGTCGGGGAATCAGTCAGGATTGGAGAAAGGAGAGGAGTCACTCGAATACCGAGTAGGGTAGAGGAGGACTTGTTCAGGTGAGGATAGAATCATGGATGATCTAGAACGCGCTCAAGAGAGCAAACCAGGTGGAGGCGAGAGGGTCGATAACTAATAATCCACAGGGACAGGGGACCATCTCCACCGCCTGCAACTTTGAGGAATCTGCACTTAAACTACTTTGGGACTAGCCCCCATACAGGTCACTGACTGACTGACTGAGTTCTTACCGCTATACTCAACTAGGCAACCTCGTCTCTTGATTGGGGAATAAAAAAGGTATGCAGTCTCTTCCTTAACTTTCCATTAATCCTATATGTCAGTAAGGACTATACCAGTGGAAGTATTGGGAGAGTATCGCCGAATTTACACCCTCTGTCCAGGCTGGTTGTGGATTACGTGGCATTTTTGTCCCGTGTCCTGGGGATCGCCCAGCGTATCATATATAATCCTGCTCACGCCATTGAGAAACTTGGCTAGTCTTATATGAAGTACTACTATAAGCGCCGACATCTCGTTGTAAAGCTATTGCTGCTTCTTACTTTTTAGAAAAAGGTCTCACTTGATTTTCAGCCAGTCGCGAATATTTGTAATAAAGTCACATGAAAACTGAATTCACTATGTAGTGCACCTCTAGATATAGTAATAAGTATAGCCAGCATATTACCGGGAAACAAGCTTCCAAGTGCAGCATAAGACGTCGCTAAGATTGGCTAGCATTAATTCAGCTATGGCTGGTTGACCACTGCCTGAACTCAAGCAATCCCGGTCAGCAAAATCATTATATCAGGGATTCTAGATTCATATCAATGTCCCGAAACTATCTCAGCTGGGCTGTATTCAAGTTCCCCGCCCTCCCTGTAGACCCTGCAGCACTGAGACTGTTCGCCTTGGGTTCTCGCAGAGCAGAAGTCAAATGTTTCAACGCGAGGAATATTTTCGGCTCTCTAAAATATACGGTCTCTGTAGATGTGAGTTCGGCGATAGTCAGCACAGAGAGTTCCGAACCATCGGGAAGAATACCTTGGGCCGACCACCAGCATTGGCAGCTGGCCTGGGAGACCGGCGAACATGTTACCGGACCGAGAGTATAATGCCGAATATCATTCAATTGACATATGAGCATGTTATCGAGCAGTTCACTTTTTTCTTGATACCTCAATCATCCCCTTCATGGTTTACTAGTGTCTATAATCTACCAGCGACACAGGAAACATCAGCCTCACAAGATTCCAAGCATGACCGAACAGTACCTTGGCCTACCCATTGCGCCGGCAGATACAGCCTTTGGGCTGATGGCAGAGTATGATGCTGACCAGCACCCAAACAAGGTGTCCCTAATAGCGGGAGCATACCGCGACGAGAACGGCCAACCTTGGGTACTCCCAAGTGTGAAAGAGGTTGGTAGCACTTATCTCTGAATAGTCCCTGGATTATACTAAGCTACCCTTCTCCATTTCAGGCCAAAGCACGCCTCGCCCAGGATCAGAACCACGAATACCTAGGCATCGCAGGCTCGCCGGCCCTTATCAATCTAGCTCAATCCCTTACCTTTGGCTCCGATATGGCCAAGAATCTAGACAAGAGTATCGCTTCTATCCAAACAGTCTCAGGAACAGGCGCAAATCATATGGCCGCGCACTTCCTAGCACAACGTCTTCGTCCAAAGCGCGTGTACATCCCCTCGCCCACATGGATCAACCACCAGACTATTTGGGCTGGCGTTGGGATTCACATCAAAGAGTACCCATACTACTCTGCAGAAACAAGAGGCGTTGACCTAGAAGGGATGCTATCAGTGTTCGAGACTACCGCCGAAGAAAGAGACGTAGTGGTTCTGCAAGCCTGTGCGCATAACCCGACAGGTGTGGACCTCACTCATGAGCAATGGGCACGAGTTGCGGAAGTGATGAAGCGTAAGAAGTTATACGTTCTCTTTGACAGCGCTTATCAGGGCTTTGCTACAGGCGATGTCAACGGTGATGCCTGGTCTATACGGTATTTCGTGGAGCAACTGATTTTCAATGGGGAACCCGATCATCCAGGCCTCTGTGTGGCACAATCTTTTTCTAAAAACTTTGGACTCTACGGCGAGCGTGTAGGTGCCCTCCATCTTGTCGTGCCTCGGCACCTCGCCGCCCAGGGTGCCCGGTCGGAACTGCTTGGTCTCGCCCGTGCGGAGTACTCAAACCCGCCTCGCTATGGGGCGAGCATTGTCGAAACTGTCCTAAAGAATGAAGAGTTAAAAGGGCAGTGGCTAAGGGACTTAGATACTATGAGTTCGAGAATCAAGAGCATGCGGCGTGAGCTTCGCAGGAGGCTGGAAAGCAAGGGGACGCCGGGGGATTGGTCGGTTTTGGAGAGCCAGATTGGTATGTTTAGCTATACGGCGCTGAGTCAGGAACAAGTTACTCGCTTGCGAGAGAAATTTCATATCTATCTCTTGCCATCGGGGAGAGTGAGCATCTGTGGTTTGAATGAGGGGAATGTTGAGTATGTGGCAAGTGCGTTTAGGGAGGTGATTGGATCCAATTCCAGTTGAATCCATGCAAGATAGCTCTAAGTCAATGAAATGGCATAACCAGCAGTCTGAAAGTAAGTTAGAATACTAAAGAATCTTACTACGTACATGCTCATAATAGGTACGTACAACCGATTACTACTACTAGTAGTTGACTAGGAATTCTACCATGACTCGCTTTACTATCTTTAACCAGGGCTGATTTCTTAGGTAAGACAACACACAGTTTTACGAATCTTGTACAGAGCATCTACAAAGTGCATCTGGCCTACTATATCTCATTCACCCTGGAATGAACGCTGAATTAATTGACAACAGCATAGGTTATTCAATATCTACTTACTACTTACTCACTACTGGGTCTGATAGCTATAATCTGATTGGCCCCGCCATCCCCAACTACCATAAGCGGTTAGTTCCACCCCGCGGGGCATGGCCGGGAAAAATCTACCCAAATGAGAATTGTCCGATAGAGTGTAAACCATCTATAACCAGCATACACCCCAGCAGACCAAACAGCATAGAATGGGCATGAAAGAGCTGCCTATCACCCCTCGTGGAATCTTCTGGCAAGAAGACTTTATCACGCCCGAACACGAGCAGCAACTAATCTCCATCTTCCGGCATGAACTAAAGTGGCCCGACCGCAGCGGGCGCACATCTCTCCACTACGGCTACACATTCGATTATAAGACTTTCGGAGTAGACCCCGAGATACCCTATAAGGAGTTTCCAGATTGGCTAAAGCCTCTGATTCCCACGACGGAGTCCCGTCCCCCAGATCAGGTCTGTCTGCAGTATTATCCTCCGGGAAGTGGCATCCCACCTCATGTAGATGCGCACCTGGCGTGGGATCAGCTGTATGCGCTGTCGCTGGGTGCGCCGGTCTTGATGCAGTTTCGGAAGGGCAAGACGGAGGAGCGGATCGATGTGGATTTGACCCCGCGGACGATGATGGCGATGGTTGGGGATGCGAGGCTTCATTGGACGCATGGGATCAAGAAGCGGAAGACAGATACCTTACCCGATGGCTCGGTGAGGCTGAGGGAGGATAGGTGGAGTCTTACGTATCGGTGGCTTAGGAATGGGGAGTGTGAGTGTGGAAATGTTGGGCTTTGTGATGTTGCCCAGAGACGGAATGGTATTGAGAAGGAGAAGAGGTCGTTGAAGCAGTTAGCTGAGGAGAGTGCCGGGCAGACTGCTTCTGAATGATCGATGTTTGGCTGATGGAGCGACAAAGATGAGTCGATGACCGCATATCTTCATATACAGCCTGTGGCTTTTGGTGGTGTCATCAAGAGTCACCAAAGGCCATTCACTCGGACGAACTACCTAATTTCCTGCGTATGGCACGATGGAAGAAGCGTCCTATGGGATAGGGAATGGCAATGATTGCGGGATATCCCAGTCAGGCATTCGTTCGGACTCCAGCGGATACTGAAAGGAGAATATTGCCGCTCGAAGGCTCCTGATACTCCAAGGCCTTCATTTATGGTTGCATGGGACGCCTACTACATTCGACAGCCAGCACAACTTGCTGTGGGTGCAACCCTTTGAAACACCAGCCATATCCCGGGATTAAGTTCATTCCTAGGTTGGAATCCGAGACCGCATAACGCACAAACCAAGCTGATCCACATAAAGGTATCGTGTGTAATATTACTCAAATGTATATACCGCACCATTCTGACTCGGCAAGAAGAAACCAGTTCAATCATCTTCTCAATGTTAGTGTGAGAATCACCGATAAGTCTTGTCCACCAGATGAGCCGAACCGCCACACTATGTGTTGAGAGGTCTCTATCACTGAGTGTCAAGAACTATAGCTGACACTGAGCAAAGGAACCAATGCCTTCGACCTTGGGCTTCTGCTTCGCCCTTACACTTGGCCTTTAATGAGGAAGACACCTTTAGTCGCTAATTCATGAAGACTACCGAGCAAATCCTCCTCTTCCACGCTCAAAGTAGACACTGCAGATCCCCGAGCAGATGGGAAATAGTCGGCATCAATGCCACACCTGTTTACACCGTCAGTATATGTTAGGAAATTGTAATAGGAGTTGTATTTTACGTTGCTTCGGGCTCCGGTAGTACTCCTTCATTGAGATACCGCCTCAGATGTCCAACGGTACATAAAGAAGGCATGCTGAGAGTACAGTGGCCATACGATGTCTGCTGCACAAGGCGAGCGCCTTCAAAGCTGTTCTGAGCTTTCTTTGCTTCTTTGCAGATATTAACGGACACACAGGATCCCAGGTAGTCGAAAATATCAGTATTGGCTCAGCTGTTTTCACCCGGGGAGACCCAGGATAGCACCGAGGGTGGAAGCCATGGGTTGTGGGAATCGACCACGAGGCTCGGTCATAGATATCAGATCCTTGATACCTTGATACCAAAAAGGACATTTCCGTTCTGGAACTAACATAATTGTAGACCGGCTTAATACCATGTACTGGGGCATCCTTCCCGCTTTTTCGGTTATCATTCAAACCAATGAAGGTAGTGGAATCATCGACGAGATACTTGAGAACCCATGACTCGGAGTATGCGTTGTAAGCAGGGGTCGTGTTGCCGTTAATTAGCTCAACCAAGTTGTGTGCAAAGGCAGACCAAGTTGATGGCTTGTATAGGGCGAATAATATTCCGTTGCGTACTAGACTTCGTCGAGTGATTGCACCATAACTCGTGCTATTCAAGTAAACGGGAATTGGCTCTTCTTCAAGCTCGCGCAAGAAGCTAACAATATGGGACTGAAGTTGGCTAGGCGACCTTGATTGCTCTCCCTTGATTGAGTGCAACGGGCAAGCTTCTTTAGCTTTGAAACATTCTTCTACAAAGCCGGTGAAGATTTTGTCCGTGTCGGTTAAGTACTCTTCGAATAAAAAGGAATTGTACCATTCATCCAGATCATTGATGCCGTCAAGTACCATTCGGGAGACCCGCTCTGGGAAAATCTGCGCATATGTCTGACCGAGTGTGGTTCCATCTATGCGCCTGTTATTTTATTAACCTCGCCGAAGAACAGAAAAGTACGTACAACTAAGTCCCCAATAAAACATCTTCTGCTGTCCGATCGCGTCGAGGATCAAGTCCATATCAGCAGCTCTCTGTGGAGTGTTTATGTATCTCCCATACTCGCCCATCATATCTTTACAAGCATTTGCTTTATTCTCGGCCCTGGTGTACATCTCACCGGCTTGGAATTGAAGGTCCCAAGGGTTGCTGGCGAACGCGGCAGTGCGTTCGGCGTTGCTTGCGTAGCAAATAGCTTTCGGCACTGATCCACTTACGCCACGAGGGTCGAAACTGAGTAAGTGGAAGTCTTCCCCAATGAGCTTATTGAGATCGGATGCAGATCCCCGCAGAAAGCCCACTCCACTGGCTGCAATATGTCAGTAAATGCCACGCTACCTGGAATCTCAACGTACCTCCAGGTCCCCCGGGGTTCAGGAAGACATGTCTATCTCCGGTTGCAGATGCATTCTTGGCTAGCATTCTCATGATAGGTATCGAGAAAGCCTTGTCGGATTGTTGGCTAAAATGATCCATGGGAACATCCAGTCGGGAACCTTCCTGTCGCGTCAACGCCATTTATAATAGGCCAAAAGACATCTGCATACTTACATTGGAAAGTATGGTTGTTAGCTTCACCGCAGTCCTTCCACTGCATAATTGAACCCCCATGAGGGTTGAGAGGCATCTGGACATCTTTGGCCAAACATGGTGCCACAATAGCAGGGCTTATACATACTGTGACTAAAACACACGAAACAAGGCTACTCCAGCCTTTGGACCCGAGCATTATCGGCGAGGTATTTTCGAGGGAAGACTTGCGTGGTTTGACTAGCATGATGGCTTGATTGATGGTATGTGAGTTTACTCTCTTGAAGTGGTGCCACGCTGGCTGAGGACATATATCAGCAACCGCCTTTCCTATGCCATAGAAGCGGCATTATATAACTGAAGACTAGAAGGACTAACCTTTCAGCGAGTGGTTGTCCTTTCGTTGGATTCACCGAACAGTTCTGCCTCCGCTTTTCTTTGTTCGGATGTTTCCACTTTCTGCCCCTCTCAGCCGCTTGGTAGTTACTGGGAACAGCCAAATCAAATGAGTATAGCAGCACTGTCTACATCTGATTGAATTTAACTATTCAATACTGATGATTCAATCCGAAATCTGTCTATCTCATATAGTACAGAAAGCCTGAAGAGGGACTTCTGCGGACGACTGAGCCATCCATGCTAGGTAATAAGGTTACCTATAGTTTTCTCCTCTTACTAGCTGCTCGTGTTGACTTCGTCTCTTCGATTTTCCCTGTCTCTTAAGTGTCTTGGCTCACTTCGATCTCTTTCGTTGGCTCTGTCTCTTTTGTTTTACAATATCTTTAGTCTTTTCAGCCTGTTCGTTTCTTGACTACCCGCCACATTTTCCACTGGCATCTCACCGGAAAACGACCTCCCATAGCATCCGAATGTTCGCATGCACCTCAAAGAAGGCATAGAATTTACGATTATCCAGAGGCATCTCATCACTCGCTTCTCGTGGCCACACCCGTGCTTGTGGAAACTAGATTATACTCCGGAGGTCGGTTGCTGGCCAGATAGAGTATGAGAGTGTGTTCGGATAGATGATTCAAGGTGCAGAGTATTCGATCCGAGTCTATGACTTACAAGGAAATAACCAGGCAAATGTCGTTTACAGCAGTAGCGCACTGAGTGAAGAGTTGCTTCGGGGAAAGCAGGTAGGAAGTAATCGAATACGTCGGCGAGTATGATGTCACACCCGCGGGGGATTAAGGTCACGATTAGTCTACCAAGAGGAGTTTCCTGGGGCTAGGATGTTTCGTGTATGCCTGGTTCTGTGATGTCCGTGTTCATGGTTTAGAATCCGAAATTGCTGTGCAGATTATGCCTTCTCCCCATGCACATCAGTGGTGCGGTACATGCGCAAATTGCTCTGCTGGACCCCTTGGGTTGGTCCCGGTCCAAATACCCCATCTAAGAAGTTGAGGTTGGGCTTTAAATGATATTGAGAATGGAGTGTATTGGCTAGATTAATCCCTCATGTTGATAAATCGTTTATTGCATACAATCTTTTCTAGAGACTGCTATTATATACGGATCTTCTATAAGTTGAAGAAAAACACCATGGTGTCTCGCTCAATCTAGATCAATGACCTCATGCTCCATAGAGTCTCCCTCCTCAACTTCAGGGGATTAGAATCTAAATTCTCCATATAGTCATCTAGATTATCCTTTTCTTCATACGATTCTTCCTTGAATTTGAACTCCAAGATATTTAACTCATCGCTCCAAAGAGGAGGAATTTCCCTTGCCAGAGGAAGATAAGACGATGATGAGAAAACCTCATATCCGTGGAAGCAGCCGAAGGAGTAAGATGACGAATTCAAAACAATCATTCCATTCAAAATATCAGACATAACGTAGTATTCCGCTTTTCTTCCATGGTATTTACCTCTCACCTACCACTTAGGTGCTGCATGGTACATGTACAGTTTGTCGAGATTGCTAGCCAGTGGATTATTCCTGCAGTATCAGTAACACCTGCATGATAATATCCTTGATTCCTGTTCGCAGCTCTCCGGTATATTGAAGTATCTGTATCAACGTCTCCGAGAATCACACTATGTTTGGGGCCATCTCCTGTATTTGATTATTTTTTACATAAAACCCTAACTGTCAATCTTATCTTGAGCACCATCTAAAAGCCGGAATTATCCTCAAAGCCCAACCCACAAAAGCATTCCACCCCGACAGGATTCTTTATATATACCACTACTGCACTCCTTCTAAAGATTGCTCCACCGTCACTTCAATCCTCACTGTTACTGTTTCATTTACAGCCAAATCCCTAGCCCACTACTAACCACCCCCAGAAACAATCAGCACCATGTCCATTCCCTACCTCAACGGCCTCGTCAACGGCCATGGCGACAACGACAACCGCGGCGTCCCAATGTCCTACGCCGACCTCAACGCACCCGATTGGAACGGCGATTGGGACTTAGCTCCTGCTTGTGCTGAGGCCCAATGGCGGGTGGAGCTCGAGGCCAACCCTGACCTGCCCGCGGACCGCTTGGGGGGCGTGGTCGTGTTTCGAGGACTGGACATGCGCCTGTTTCCCATCGTGAACGGTCAGGCGCACGAGCCATTCGAGTATGAACGCAAGGTGGAGTGGGTGTCAGAAAGTAACGAGTTCGGAGAGGCGCTTAATGCGTTTTGTGAATTGCTGGCGCAGGGAAACTGAGGTTCGTTGTGGGGTAGATCGATAACGTTTGGTCTGTTTTTGCTCGTTGAACCATAACGGGAAGGAAGCAGAAAACGGACAAAGAAGGAGAAAGCAATCAAAGCATATTCTTGCACGAAATCTACAGCAGTAAGCCTTCAGTGGGACAACTCCAGACCCCACCTTCTCATATCTTTCTGATTGTAGTTACCATGTACCCTAAATATTTCGAGTAGCAGTCATCAGTTAAGTGGTTAGTGTGTAAACTGCAGACATCAATCAAGCCTGTTAGTGGGGGCCAAACTATAGTGCTCTAAAGTAATACCCGTAGTAGCAGGTAGTATTACAGTGTATATAACTGTATATCCTATTGGTCAATCAATATGGTATTTTCCATGAACCATTTCTGTAGAAACTGGAACCGAAGTCTCAGATTCGCAGTCCGTATGAAACTGAATCTTTCTGTGGATGTGTTTGTGGTGGACCGTTGCTGACTGTTACGAATGATCGAATGCTGTAGGTGGAGAGGTATTAACAGTGGAAATTGTTGCCGAGGTAAGATATGGTGGTGCATCAGTGCGAGGGGAAGCATGCGACTATTCTGGGGGCAAGGTATGTTAAGGGGTTGCAGTTGGTGTGGAGGCGGGTGTTGGGAAAGGGAGGTTTAGACTGTATAATGATATGATATAATTGCGCTGTTGTTGCAATATGAGGTCAATAGCTTAGTTGCGCATAGATCGAGGGCTGAACCAGAAAATGTTATGGGAGTTACTATCCATGATTGCGTCAGCATTGGATGATGTTATCCTGCTTCTTGTGTCCTCTATTGAACTACACAGGGGGTTAGAAGTCATGTATTGTGGGAATAATCACACGGAGAGGCTAATTGGCGATGATGATGACTATGATGATAAAGAAGAAGAGGAGAAGAAGGAGGAGGACGAGTATATAGGCTAGCTACATAATGGTTCAACCATACTAGGTAGGAAGGTGGGAATGGTTAGGTGACCGTCACAGGGGCTGGACTTACACCATATTCACCGACATGCCTTGTGTTGTTGACCAGTTATGGGGCTGAATTCTTACATATAACAAATTTACTTGAGTCTTCAGGCGTGGAATTTAAAGTTGTGAACTATACATTTGATATTGAGGTAGCTTTTGACTGACTTGCTTGGCATAGTATCTAGTATCACGAAGATCTGTCAACGCACTAACCACTCGACCAAAAACAATATATCGCGTCTAATAGTTAGACAGGCGACAGAAAGATATGTCTCTCAACATAGAAGACTTATAGTAAATAACATAAACACCGCTTGAGCCTCATCGTAGGTACAAATACAGAAAAGAAAAGAGATTACGACCACCATGTGGGTCATTCCTCCTACGTTCAGAGCTTCACAATTGCTGGAGACTGAGAGAAAGAGTTTTCATCTGTAGAATATTGCACTTACTCATCATCAGTATCTACTTAGCTCTACTAATTAGGCCTGTGTCAGTGACGTATCCATGGTGGAATTATTAGATATTGACAGCTCGTAATAATGCCTATTATTTCGACCGTGACATATCCTGTTTGCAGGTATCTAGACCGCTTTTGTAATTAATAATTGTACCTATACAAGTACTTTGGGTAGTTCCAGCGTATTACCGTTATGGGCTTTTGTGGCTTATGGTACATGACAAAGTATGAGGGTTTATTGTGTTAATACTTCACGGCAGTTACCTGCATGATGCCGATAACAACGGTCCACCGACAATCGCGGGGCGCAAAAATGATTCACCGAGCTGGAGGGTCAGCCATTTAAAACCTAGCAAGTAGCAAGTCAGGAACCAAGGCTTACAGCACACCTTGGAACATTTCGAGTTATTTTCAGGCCACACCTTTGGGCTGCAAGTGCAAAAGTCACAACAACATCACATACTGCTATTAATAGATTTCTGATTCTTTAAGACATAAACTCTATTCCCATATTTTGCTAGTTACTTTTTAGTAGAGGGATATATATGCATTATATACCTGTAACTCTCGAGCTTTCATTTATATTAAATGCAAGATAAGTACGGAGTAGTGAGAGGTATTTGATCGGAGTAAGAAAGAAAGAGAGTGATGGAAATAATTGCATCATGTGGAGAGGAGAATTAGGGAAATTTTCCTACGTAGGCAATAGGCAATGTCTCGGGGTCCGGACTGGCACTAACCCCAAAGCAGCTAGTCAGGGTCCGGGCCAGACCAGTCTGCACTCTGACTAGTGACTTGACTACAAGCTGATTGCCCCTAGCGACGCTGTCCCGTGGGCGGGCAATTATTTGTGTACACACCCGAGCCCTCGTCATTTACCCCAGGCTTTCTTTGGAGTAATTGCTTCCAAGAATACATTCTTGGTCGACTACGGAGTACTAGATACCAGATTGCCCTTATCTAGATCACTTCATACACTCACTGACAGCACGATTC